TCCTCTTCTGTTATAGTAGTTTCATTGAGTTGGGCGAACAAATCTTGTTTGAGAAGGCTTTCCTGCGAGTCTTCGTCTTAGGGTACGTTTAGGCACGTTGTAGAGAGCTGCAGCGCGTGGAATGTTAATTGTCGCGTCGCATTTAATAGCCTGAATTGCAAGCTGTACTTGAGACTCTTTGGAAGACTTTTTTGTAATGAATTTGTTGAGACATCGCGAGTAGTAGTGAAAGTTGATGGGGGCTTGGCATTTTCGGTCACTCGCTATTCTCGGCCACTCGCTATACTTTGACGTTATATGATTTATGATTTTCTAGTGAATCGCGAAAGGGAAATGGTATCACTTCTGATAGAGATCGATATATATATATATATATATATAAACAAGTAAGTGAGCAAGTAAAAAGAGAGGAGGGTAGATACAGTAGTATGATGTAGCACGTCAATTGTAGAAAGGGGAAAAAAAGGGGGGGGGGAAGGGGGCTCATGGACGAGTTGAAAGTCATACCTCAAGTAAGCAGACAAGACATTTCTTGCACCAAAGTAAAGGAAAAAAAACTTGCATATTGTGGTATGATAATCACAACAAACTTCACCACTTGAGCACAACTCATTGCAAGTGTCATAACGCATACATTGTACAGACTGTCGCGTGTCGGCAGCCCATGCTAGTCTATCTAACTAATCATCTGGCTGGAAACTGTGCTTTTATGAGATTCCTTCCACCCAGGTCACTGGGTCCAGGTTCGCATATCGGTGCGCGCCTAGGTGCAAACCAAAACTACCATTTTTTCTCAAGTCCCACCGCCGAGAGCTGGCTTTGAAAAGACAGCCACCATGACGGTTACCACAAAGAACCGGGGGTATCTTCCTTCGTAACAAAGGTTGGGTCGTGGCAAAACCTTCATGAACGCCATCTATATGTGACAAACTTTTTCGTCGTCCCGAACAGCCCATGCTGCTACTCTCCGCATGTGAAGAGATCGAGAGACACAAGGACGACGAGAAAGACGTTGTCGCCGAGGGGTATGACCGGGAAAAGGAATCGCTTTTGTCGTAAAATAAGGAAATGCTAACTATGGCCATCCGCGTGTGGATGACTCGGAAAGCGAGAATCTATAGCTCCCCAAGCAGCATGCTTGCAGAAAGAGCGAAGGCGTGAAACGGCGGCGGCGGTGGCGGCGGCGGCAGCTGGGGCGGCGCCCAAGGTGGCTACGGAGGCGGTGGTTACGGCGGACAAGGCGGTGGTTACGCTGCCCCGGCTGCTGGTGGCTACGGCGGCGGCAGCGGCGGCGGCTACGGCGGTGGTGGCTATGGCAACCCCTCTGGTCCCGGCGGCAACTCTTGGTGGTAAACTAACAGTCCACGGCTTCACGATATCGCCAGTCCGGGGCACATTTCTTTTCGACGATACCCTGGGCCTTCGTGCAGCATTTCCGGCGGCTTCCTTTTTCATTTCCTACAGTTTCGGTTTTTTTGTTTCTGCGAATCTTTCCCGGTTACCGCGGATCGATGCGGAAATCTGGAATCTTATACCCCAACCAGCATATAGACAGCGACTGTTTTTCTGCGGCTCTCTGCCTATTTCGAGCTCTTCTCGCATACGATACCCTTCGACGTACATCCGTCGAGCTCGAGCATAGACGGCAGGACTGTTGCCTTTTCCGCAAAGGCATGCATCACGAACAAAGCCGCCACCACCACCGCCCATGCGACGAACGTCACGAGTAGCAGCGTTGCCACGGCCACGGCCGCCACCGCGTCCACCACGACCGCCGAAGCCAGAGCCCTCACGAGCGATGGACTCAAGGAAGCCGGGAACCTCCTGGTTCGCCTCCTTTAGCAGCTCGATAAGGTCGCGGACGACACCACGGTTGCCACGGTTGAAGAATGCAGTTGCGATACCAGTGTTTCCGGCACGACCGGTACGACCAATGCGGTGGACGTAGTCGTCAATGTCGGTGGGCAGGTCGTAGTTGACGACGTGCTTGACGTTTGGAATATCCAAACCACGAGCAGCAACAGCAGTCGCGACAAGAAGAGGGCAGCGTCCAGAGCGGAACATCTCAAGCGCCTTTTCACGCTCACGCTGGGTGCGGTCACCGTGGATCGAGGTGGCAGGGAAGCCCTGGTTGATAAGGAAGTCGGACAGTGAGTCGGCCATGCGCTTGGTCTCGACAAAGATCAGGCTGAGACCAACGCCGTGGGTGTGGAGAATGTCCAAGAGAACAGAGCGCTTGTCGACATCCTCGACGTACTCGATCTTCTGGGTAATGTTCTCAGAAGTGGAACCGACACGACCGACCGAAAGGAAAATATAGTCCTTCAAGAAGTCGCGGGCGAGCATCTGGATGTCGCGAGGGAAGGTAGCCGAAAACATGAGCGTCTGGCGACCAGCGACAGGAGGCATGTCCTCACCCTCAACAATGCGGCGAATTTGAGGCTCGAAACCCATGTCCAACATGCGATCGGCCTCGTCAAGAACAAGGTACTTGATGCTAGCTAGCGAGATGCGGCCACGCTCAATCAAGTCGACCAAACGACCAGGTGTGGCGACGAGCAGGTCACAGCCGCGCTCGATCTGGCGGAGCTGGGAGCCAATGTCGGCACCACCATAGACGACGCAAGGACGAACCCAGGAGCGGTAGGCAAACTTGCGGGCCTCGTCGAAGATCTGAGAGACCAGCTCACGGGTGGGGGCGAGGACAAGAGAGGTGGGGTAGGCCTTGCGCTGACGTCCGTAGCCGCCCTGTGCTGTTGGGGGAGGGGGAGAAGGTCCGTTTTGGAAAGCCTGGGCGAGGATGGGGAAGAGGAAACCACCAGTCTTTCCGGAACCAGTCTGGGCACAAGCCATGAGGTCACGACCACCCATGACGATAGGGATCGAGTACTTTTGTACAGGGGTAGGAACCTTGTATCCGGAGAGCTCGATGTTGCTCAGCAAGTGGTCATCCAGAGGCGGGTTTGTGAAACGCGTGACGGGCTCGGGCACACCCTGACCAGAGGCCTCGACGGGAATGTCGTCGTACTTTTCAAAGTTGATGCCGGTGTGCTGCTTCGACGGGTCGTTGGGGACGCCGAAGAGGTCGCGCTCAAGACGTGGGTTTGGCGGGCCAGGAACATGCTTGCCATCCTTCCAGGCGCCGTCACCAGATCCACGAGCACTGCCACCACCGCCACCAGACTTGCCGTAGCCGTTGGAGTCGAAGCCGCCGCCGCCGCCACGGTGACCACCACCACCGCCCCATCCACCGCCAGGGGGACCGCGAGGGGTGAAGTTAGGTGCGTTGGCCCAGCCGCCGCCACCGTTGCCGTTGCCGTTCATGGGAGGGGGTCCGTGACTGTTTTCTGTTAGTGTGTGTTGACGCGCGCCGTGCTGCGTGGATACTGACCCTCCTGGTCCCCAGGCGCTGCTGTTGAGACCGCCGCCACCGCCCCCGTTGGCCATGGGCGGGCCATCCATTTGTGCAGGGCCTCCGGGTCCGCCCTGGCGGCCGCGAAGGTGAGGGGGGATGTAGGCAGAACGCTCGCCGCTGAAGCCGTTCTGGGAGTTGTGTTGCGAGTCGTTTATGTTGAGACGACCCATGTCGAGTTGATCAGCCATGATGGCGTTGGGGTCAGGTTGGCTGCTGAAAAGGGGGGGAGGGGGGAGAGTTGTGCGTGTGTGCGTAGTGTCGTGCGACAAGTCAAAAATTACTGTGTAGTAGAATTCGGCTGGCTCGGCGGTGAGCGACAGACGAAAAGTGGCAGTTCTAAGTGACGAAAGTGGTAACTGGCAGGCGGGTGCCTGATAACTCGTTCGTCAGGAAAGAAGGGAACGCCTCTGTCCTGAAAAAAACGACAAGTAAAGGAGCGTGAAGGCCAAAAGAAGGACTTCACACAGGAAATGTGGTGTTGAGGTTGTGTAAGAACACAGGGGAGGTTTGGAGAGTGGGTGGTTAGGAAAGAGGGAGACGGCAGGTAAGTTAAAAAAGCGTCCGCGAGAACCCTTTACGGCACTAGGCTGCGTTGGGCACTAGTGTGCTTGCCTCCCAAGCGTTCTCAGCGCGCTGTGTGGCGAGTGGGGAGCGGTGAACGTCACAGCTGCAGCATGCTTGCTTTTCCATGCGCTGTGACATGTAGCTGTTTGTAAGGGTGGCGGATTTGCCCGAATCTCGTGGGCGTGGGATGACTCCGTTGCAGCGTGGCCGCCTCCTCGACTGTGAGGGAGAGCGCGTGCCTGGTTGCTTTTGTGATATCGCGCTGCTGCATCCCAACACTTGAACGGCACTGGCGCCGTCGTGGTAGCCAGGATGCATTCACAGCCCCTTCATCTTGCAGCAGATAGAGGCGTCCATGTCACTGTGCACAAACGGGCGCGTCTTGGAGAGGTGAAACTTGCAGAGTTTGATTTTCGTCGGACGAGAGGCGGGACTGAATGCACATGTACACGATTCTAGCATTCATTGTACGGCAGAGCAAGCAGCACTCGGCACAAGCAAGCACAAGTCAAGACGCAAGCAAACGGTTTGGGTATCTGTGATCTAGGCCATACTTTTCTCCTTGAGCCCACCCATCATACCTTGCCCACCACTTCTTGACCTTAGGAAAAGTGCACAGAGCGCAACGATGACGACGATAAAAAAGAGCTTCTGGCCCATGGACAGGCCGTCTGCAGCGGAACCAGCAGAGGCCAGCCCCTCAATCTTGGCCTTGGCAGCAGAAGGCTCTGGAACTTTCGCGATGCTAGCAACATCATCGCTGGCATGTGTTGGCTTGATATCGAGCTCCTCGCCAGGATTGGCGGGCTCGGCAGCGCCATATAAATCTTAAAAGAGGGACACAGGATCAGCGACTTTCCAATTGGGAGGAAGTGACACAATAGGCAAAAATGCATACTGATGTCTAGAGTTCCGCGTGAATACCTTCCGCTGGTACCTCGAGCTCGCCGCTCTTGGCAATCGTGACGGGCTTCTTAGGCTTGTCGCCGGGGCCCTTTTCCACACCCTCAATCTTCTCCACCACGTCGTAACCTTCAAGGACCTCTCCGAAGACGACGTGGCGGCCATCGAGCCAGCTGGTGATGACCGTGGTAATGAAGAACTGGCTGCCGTTTGTGTCCTTGCCGGCGTTGGCCATGCTGAGGAGACCCTTGCGGCTGTGCTTGAGCTTGAAGTTCTCGTCGGGGAACTTTTCGCCGTAAATGGACTTGCCGCCGGTGCCTAGGGGAAGTCAGTATGCTTGATGTACACGCTGTGCTGGGAGCACACTTGCCATCGCCCTTGGTAAAGTCACCTGAATTGTCGTTAGTACATGAGAACCCCTGTGAGAAGCATATCGCGGGATGTACGTACCACCCTGAATCATGAACGCGTTGATAATGCGGTGGAAACCAGAGCCCTGGTAACCGAAGCCCTTCTCGCCAGTAGCGAGAGCACTATCATCTCTCTTAGCTGATGGAGTCGCGCATTGCACACCATATTATATCGTACCGAAAGTTCTCGGCGGTCTTGGGAACCGTCTTGCCGTAAAGGCCCATGACAATGCGGCCTAGGTCCTCGTCGCCATGCTTGATGTCGAAGTAGACCTAATTCCATGTCAGAGAATGTCTGCTAGGACGAATTGCAAGCACATACCTTGTGGGTGATCTTGGGACCCTTGGTAGCCTCAGAGGCCTGGGCAAAGAAGACAAAGGTGATGGAGAGGATCAAGAGGAGCGAAACAACGGCTCTCTGGAAGGTGGCCATGATGCCTGTGAGGGTTTCCAAGGCAATTGTGGGGGTTGAAAAAGGTTATATAGCTGAGGAACCCCCCTGCAATTGTTGCAAAGGGCGAAGCGGTGTTGAAACGTGGTGTTTTAGTCGAGCCCGCAATGTCGCACCTTGGTAGCGCCAAGCCCGCGGCATCCGCATGTGGAATAGTGGGCCGTGCGGGCTCGAGATGACTGTGGCGACTAGAATGCGACACTCCACAACGCGAAATAGCTGCGTGAAGGTGCGACATCATGGTAGGTTTTGCATGTCTGAGGGTAGCACTTGTGGGCAATGGCTGATGCGTCTAGGTGTTCATCAACGGCTTTAGCTTCACCGAAGCCACGCTCGTAAAACGGTCGCTCGAATCTTTCTTCGGCATCGGGCCATCGGTCTCGCAGCGCATCATGGCAAAATTCCACATCCAGCCCTGGGCAAAAGTGGGGAGCTTGAAGAACGCCACCGTCATGGACCTCACGGCGGAATTGGCCAACATGAAGATTGAAAACGACTTGCGGCGGCAGGTACAAGACGACATACGCAGGCTAAGGGACATGGGCACATACCGGGGAAGAAGACATGCAATGGGTCTGCCGGTCCGTGGACAGAGGACGAGAACACAGGTATGCGCGGCCTTTGGCATCGTAGAGGGGGACTGTGGGTGGTTAGGGAAGCGACTGACACGGACAGATCACGACTGCACGACGATTGAACAAGATAGAACGAGGCGGCGCTGGAAGGGTATCTATGTGAGAAGGAAAAAAAACAATCCATGCATGTATTGTATACAGTATCGCCTGGCAGCATGGAGCGCGGGGTCGACAAGACACATGGAAGGAATATCACGACTCGTCCACGACTCGACATGGCGACCGACACGTGCAAGCAATGGCTGGGTTGCAGAGGTCTCGGCAAGCATGGGCTGCATATTGTTTGCACTGTTTTCTACCTTTGTTCAGACATGCGGGCCATCCTTTGGGAATGACAGTTGGCGGTGACAGCTTGGGGTGACTAGGTTTGCAAGCGGCGGCTGGGTTATTGCTATAATAGCGATTGATAGATGAAGGGAGGCCCGTGTGTGGTATTGCTAGGATCGCCCAAAGCCAACCTCGGTTCAGTAATGGTGGTGGTCTTCTGTTGAGGCAGCATGGGTGACGCATCCAATCTCACAGCTCCGACGAGGCGTTATTGATATGGCGCTTGGCACTAGCAGACGGGAACATGATTCTTGGCTTCATGCCGGCAGCAGTGGCAGTGGCAGTGGCAGTGGCAGCAGCAAATAGGTGTTTGGATGATTGCAGCTTTGGCTGCGGGTTATAGTTGTGGTTGAGTTGGTTGTGGGGTACAGTACCGGGCGCGCGACAGGAAACTGGGCGACAAGGCTCTCTGCCATGGCCTGCTACCAGCACTGCCTATTGCCACATTTGCTACCACTACCTACCATTACGTACCACTCGGGCTATCGCCACTGCGGCTGCGAATCAGAGACGATGGTGTGGTGCTCAGGCAGCCTCTGCTTTGGGGCCGGTTCTAAGCTACAACCGTTCGTGTATACATTTGTCGTGCTGTGTCTAGGATGGTTGGAGAATATGTAAGTTGTGTCAGACAGCCATGGGCAGGATGACAACAAGAAGGTATTATTAGACGTCGGGATCGAGGCAATCCGTAATGAGAAGCAGACGTGTGACCCGGCAAGCTGCTGGAGTTATGCTGAGCGTGTATCTGGGGCCGGGTGTGCCTCAGGTTTACCCTGCATATATTGGTAGAGGCCAAGTTAGCGCAGCGTCGATGGTGGGCCGCAGAGAGCGGAGAGGGGGGGGGGAAGACGGAGAGCGGAGGAAGCCACGCATGCGCATGAAGCTGTCAATCTCGAGCGGGCGAGGGTGGCGCGCTTTGTTTCTTGTCGCAGGCGGTGGCCATGATGCAGGCGGGAGACGCCCGAGTGGCACAGGCTCGTGAAGAAGCAGGCCAGACAGGGCAAAACAGGTGCGTGTGGACTTGTCGCAGCACGGCGGCAGGAGGGTATTTTTTGGATATGGGAGAGTTGGAAACAAAGAAGGAAAAAACAAAAACAAAGGCGGGCAGGCAGAAACGCGGGCGATGTGCGTCGTGCAGCATGCGGCGAGGACAGAGACAGAGATGGAGGCTGCAGAGTGTGGCTAGTAGGGTCAGCTCGTCGCAAGCCCAAGCCCAGGCCGGCGAGGGCTGCGGGCCAGCGGTGGAGCCATGGGCGGCTCCCTGCAGGCGGCCTCGCTTGAGCGCCGTGGGGTTTCAGAAGCTTTGCAGCTTTGCAGCAGCTTTGCAGCTTTGCAGCAGCTTTGCAGCTTTGCAGCAGCAGCGCGCATGCGCAGGCCTGGGACAAGTCGTACGATTTGCTTTTGGTTCCATGCAAGAGATGTTTCTAGTGCGCGGACGAGGAGGCAGGGCGGGCGCAGGGCGGGGGGTCTTTTTGCGGTGAGTGCTGAGTGAGAAACGGGTGCTGAGGGCTGGGGTGCTACAGCAAGTGCTGAGTGATGGGGGGTGTGATGAGTAAGCCACGAGGGGGCGCGTGAGCTGCGAGTGAGCTGCGAGTGGGTGAGTGAGCGCGAGTGTGCGCGTGTGAGAGTGAGAGTGAGAGTGAGAGAGCGCGGCGGCGGCGGGAAATTGTGACGCCACCGACGGGCGACGAATCACGACGGATCGCCGCATGTGCGGGGGGGGGCTGCATCCACATCTGATTTGGGCCTGCGCAAAGCTTCTTCGCTGCCGTCGAACTCAATCCGTGCACGAGGCAGGCGTAGGCGTAGGCGGCGGCGGGCGCAGGCGTGTGTAGGCTACAGTAGGCGGGCTAGCACGGTTCCTGCAGAAGCGAGCGGCGCGTCGTGTGGGCGATCGCCTGCGCTCGCCTGCCCTTGGGGCCCTTGGAGCCCTTCGCCGTCGAGGCTGCGTCCCCTCACGTTTGAGAAGTGCTGGAGGCGCTGGCCATGCCGGCCCATGTTTGCGACATGTAGCCGCCTGAGGGGGCGGCGCGCCCTGCCCATTGGCCGCCTGGCCGGCCGCCCGCCCGCCCGCCGTGCCCTGTCTGCCCTGTCTGCCGCCATTGCGCGCGCAGAAAACAAGCTGCTGTCTGCTGCCCGCTGTCTGCTGTCGCGGGCGCCCTGTTGGCAATTTGCTGGCGAGTCGCTGCCCTGCCGTGTGCGCGCCGCCATTGGCTGCAGCCGTGTCCACGGTGAATGTGAATGTGAATGTGTGCTGAGGTGGTGCCCCCATCCCATACCCCCCGTGAGACCATACCCACCGCACACCACACCCGCTCTTGCTCGCACACTCGCCCTGGCACGCCCATGGCTGCTGCACCCATGGGCTCAGGGCTGGGCGCACGCAGGTGCAGCCAGGTCCAAGGTGCCTGCTTGGGCTTAGTCCACGGCGCCGACTCTCTCTCTCTCTCCTTCTCCTTCTCTTCCTTCTGCTGCTGCTGCTGCTGCGACTCCTCCTGCTTCCATGCCGCCGCGCCTGTTCCTTCTTGCACACACTGCCCCCATGCTGCGCTGGCCGCCCGCGTGCTGCTGACGATAGCTGCTGAGCGCCGCAGCCCCCGCCCCCGAAACACACCTGATCCCCACCACCAGCCTGCTATACCGCTCCCCATCCCTGTCGCCCGGCTAAGCTGGTTTGAGAAGCATGAGGTCCAATCCAGACATGCTTCAGGAAGCCTCGACGGCGCATCACCTCCCTCAACACCACCCCCCAATCCACCACTCCGTCTCGCTGCCCTCGCTCGCCGCCAGCATTCGCTTTGCGCGCGACCACCACCACTCCAACAGCCCACTCCACGCCGCGCCCGCGCCCACCAACCCCAACACCGCCGCCGCCGCCGCCGACCAACTCCACGCTCGCCGCCGCAAGCCCGTCCCCAGCCCGCTCGCCCCCTCCGCCGCTGGCTCTGGCGCTGGCGCTGCCTCTGCCTCTGGCACCAGCGGAGCCCCATACCCGGCCTCGCCCTATCACGACTCTCCACGCTTCGAGGAACCACGCAGCCCCCGCGAGAAGCTCGACGCATTGCTGGCCGAGGAGGAACACCACATCTGTCCCATTCGCCCAACCAAGCCAGCGCATCCTCCAACGCCCCCCAGCGCCCCCACGACCAATTCCACCCAGCCTGCGAGGCCGTCTGCGTATGCAAAGCTACGACAAGTCTCGTCTCCCACGCTGTCGTCGGCTGGCGTTTCCCCGCCAGCATCACCTGTCATCATGTCTCCACCCCCCTCGCGCCCCAGCCGCCCAGAGACTGCCAAACCACCCGTGCCTGTCCGCAACCCCTCGATAGACTCGGCTGCCTCGTCCCTCTCGTCGAGCGCCTCACAAAACCGCCCCGTCGGCAGCCATGTCTCCCGGCCATCGCAAGACACAAGCACGGCCAATCCCCCAGACATGGCCGCCCTCATGGCCGCCGCCGGCTCGCCAGAGGCCGCCATGATGGCCTTGTGGAAGGAGAAGCAGAGCGTCTCGAGCCACAACGCACAGCTCTGGCGCCTCGTCGAAAAGCAGCGCTCCATGATCATTGGCCTGCAAAAGGACCTGGAGCGCGCATTGAAAGACAAAGACCGCTACCGCAAAAAATTCAAGGAGTATGTCGACCAGGTCCCGCCGGGCCCTGGCTCGCTGCAAAAGTCGGACACATTCAACTCGGTCATGGAGCACGAGCCCGGCGAGTCGCCCGTCACCAGCGAACGTCCCGACGACGCTGCGAAGCCCAGCGACGCAAAAGCCGAAGACAACAGAATATCCCCATTGACGCAAGAGCACCCTGCACCGCGCCTGGTGCCCGACTCGCAACTCGCGACATCGCCCTCTCATTCCACCGCGTCCAACCCTACTTCAGCCGTGCACTCGCCCACAGACTTTGCGCAGCCCCTGGCTATCGCCAGCCAAGGCCTCGGCCTCGACAACATCGTGCTCCAGCCCAGTGATGCTGCGCAGCCGCCACCACAACTGCCAAATCCTACGACACCACCGCGAAAAGCGGCAGATGCGACGCTTGCGCCAAACCAGTCGCAGCTTCACCCGCCCGAGATCTCTCTCATCCAAGCCACCCCTGTCATCGGCGGCGAGGGCTTCGAGTCGTCTCCACGGAAGCCTGCACAACCTTTGCGCAAGGCCCCGCCAGCTCCCCTCAATCTCTCCAAACCCACGACCACGAGCGCCCACCTCCACCAGGCTGTGCATGGCGATGATGTCGACTCCGACTACGACGACACATTGGAGGTGGACGAGATACCTGTGGTGGAACGGGGAAGGAGAAAGACACGCGAGGAAGACGATCGAGTGCGCGAGGCCCTATACCTGAAAGAAGAGGAAGCTCGAAGCAAGTCCAAGAAGAAAAGCAGCGAAAGCAAGAGCCAGCAGGCGATACCATCTGAAACTCCGGATAGCCATGAGCCTCAGGCTGTCCCTGCATCATTGTCGCCACGTCAGATTAATGCTTTCCAGTCGGGCCTACCACTCTCCCCCCGACATCCTCCTGCCAACTCCATAAATGCCCTCCTCAGTCCCACAAACTCGGATAGTTCAATGATGGCCAATCGAAGCGTCGCGTCGCCTCTGCTGAGTCCTGGCCTGCCGTCCAGCCCCCGCCCCGGGGACAGACCTCTCGGGTCGCCTCTACCCAGGAATCCCAAGTCGGCACTGGCATCACCACCCATGTCGCCCAGCGCTATGAATGTCTCTGCGCCGCGAGTCGCACACCCAACCGGCCCACTTCCGCCAAACACGCCTCTGTCCTACCAGTCACCGTCGGTAAACCAAAATCAGAAGAATACCCAGTCCGCCAAGGACGTATCTGCGGGTCTCCTGACCGTGCCAGGGGCGCAATCCAGCCCAGATTCAACGTCGAGCAGCCCGACCTTGAACGACATCCCCGATTCGGAACACGTCTACCGCGGCCTGGTTTCCGATCAGTATCCAGGACTTTTGCTCCCTCCCAACGCCCTTCCTTCCATCCAGGTCAAGGTATTTTCGTCTCGCCTCCGGCCATCTCGCTTGAGTTTTTTGATGCCACGACCCCAAGAGGAGGACCCAGTCTTTATCCTCGCAGTCTACGCACGCTCGGACAACAAACAACTATGGCGCGTGGAGAAGACAATTGCTACATTGCCCACCCTGGATGCTCAACTGAGATCTCTGTGTGACTTTCCAGGAAAACTTCCCGATCGTGCTCTGTTTGGAGGCCATGCTCCCGCCAAGATCGATGCTCGAAGAGTTGCTCTCAATCAGTACTTTGACCATGTTCTGGAAGCCCCCACGGATGAAAAGACTGCCCGCATTGTCTGTGAGTATCTGTCTGCCGATGTGATTGGTGCACAAGCTGGCGACAGGTTAGCCCCTGAGCCCACGCCAGGCCCCACTCTGTCTGCCCCAAAGACACAGCGCAAGGAAGGTTATCTTACGAAGCGTGGCAAAAACTTTGGAGGCTGGAAGGCCCGTTTCTTCGTCCTGGATGGATCCGAGTTCAGGTACTACGAAAGCGAAGGTGGTGCTCACCTGGGCACCATCAAGCTGCAGAATGCGCAGATTGGAAAACAGTCACAGCAACAGTCGACCCAGTCGCCACAGCGAAAGGATGACTCCGAGGACAACCAATATCGCCATGCCTTTCTCATTCTGGAGCCAAAGCGAAAGGACTCTTCAAGCCTGGTTCGCCATGTCTTGTGTGCTGAAAACGACGAAGAGCGAGATGCCTGGGTTGAAGCTCTTCTGCACCACGTTGATATTCAGGACGAATCTTCGCCCACCGAGATTCGTGCTCCTCCAACAACGCGTCTTCAGAAGCAACAAACCAGCCAAGATTCTGCGCGCTCCCAACGGAAAGAAAGCCCTGACGTGACGGAGCAGGATCGTCTCCAAGGTCTCAGCTATGAGGACACGGTGCCAGCTCAAGCCCCAATCCGCGGGCCCAACCATCGTGATGCCCTGGGAGAGAAGCCCTCGCGAGGATCGCCCCGAGAAGCACACTTTGTGCAAGACAGTCTAAGCCACTTTCCCACCATTTCTGGTCCAAGCAATGGAACCCCCATCAAGGATTCCGAGAATTGGGGCGCTAGACTAACGCCAGCCCTCACAACGGCCAAGGACAAGAAGCGTAGCATATTCGGGTTCCGAGGCCGTGGCGGCTCGTCTGATCTGGCACCTGTGCACATCAACAATCCCCTGCAAATACCCGTTGAGCAACGGCTGCCCCCGAACCGCAGCATATTCGGCATCCCGCTTATGGAAGCTGTCGAATATACACAGCCTGTCGGCATCAACGTTGCTCTGCCTGCGGTCGTCTACCGGTGTCTGGAATACCTTCGGGCCAAGAGGGCGATAAGTGAAGAGGGCATCTTTAGGCTTAGTGGGTCTAACATTGTCATCAAAGGCCTACGCGATCGCTTCAACAATGAAGGAGACATTAAGCTTTTGGATGGCCAATACTACGACGTTCACGCTGTTGCTTCGTTGTTGAAACTCTATCTACGAGAACTCCCGTCGTCGATTCTCACTCGAGAACTGCACCTTGACTTTCTCAAGGTTCTTGGTAAGTGTCTGATCAACTACTGGGAAGCGCCATGTGTCCTAACCCTGTCTAGACATGGATGAGCGAAGCAAAAAGATTCAAAGCTTTAATGTCCTTGTGCATAAACTCCCTCGACCCAACTTTGAGCTGCTTCGGCACTTGTCGTCGTTCCTGATTGAAATTGTCGATAATTCCATGGTCAACAAGATGACTGTGCGCAATGTTGGGATTGTATTCGCGCCTACGCTCAACATTCCAGCACCATTGATTTCCTTCTTCTTGACAGACTTTAGTGACATTTACGGCGTCGCTCTCGACGAAGCCAGCTCTCCAATCCATGAGATCCGAAACAACACATCGTCCCTAGGCGATGAGGCCGTTCGCTCTCCGCGTCGGCAGATGTTCTCTGATCTTCCGACGCCTGCTTACAACGAGACAAGCTTTCAGCAGCGAGTGGACCGGCCACAGCATCAACCGAGCAGCAGTGCGCCAAACTATGCTCCGCCACAGCCTCCACATCAGCAGCAGCATCAACAGCAGCACCACCACCACCACCACCAACCGCACGCTAGCTATGACGCTGGGTTTATTGGAATGCGGCCTAGCTACGAGGCTCCAGCTTACGAGCAGGCATACCGGGCTGGGGAGGGGTATGGCAGTCTGAACGGCGCAGTGCAGACTGGCGGCGCTCGGGAGCAACGACAGCGAAAGCGAGAGAGTGGGATGCTGCTCATGAACATGGGCATGGGCGGGCATCGCAAGGGGTCGGGCAGTTCGAACCAATCCGGCCATCGCGGGCACTACCAACAAAACCCTTTAATGGTTCAGGAAGAGACGGCATTTGACTGAGCAAGCCTCTGGTTAGATGGGGTACGATGATAGATTACGATCTACCAATATTTTGGCTAATTTTTTGATTTCTAATCGAGAGCCACGGATCGCATCTCGCTGGCTTGTCGGATGGGGTTCTTGGGGTATTCTCATTCGAATGACTACTGGCGTTCTGAACAGGGGGAGTTTGCTGCAGCCAAGGTTGTGTCTGCGGTTGGTACATGGCTACAAGTTTGGCGTCGGAGCGACGCCTTTTCTTTTCTTTTCCTTCGATTGAGATATCCTGGTTATTTTTTTTCTTGGTTCTTCTTCTTGTCTTCTAGCGCGGCGTGCATTTGATACCAGTTCAGAGTTTGGATTCGATGGCTTGAATGTTTGGGTAGGCCTGCAATGGACATTTTGCAGATGCCAACAAGGCGTATCTGGCATATACTTGAATCGAGCATGATCTGTTGTTATGGAAGTAGCCGTGTGCACGGGAAGACGGTGCTCTGTTGTTGCTGTTGATATTGTTGTGGTGGCAGTGAAGTCGGCGACTCGTTTGCGTGTGTGGACATGGTGATCTAGAACCTCACGGGCCAAACGTGAGACGACGGCCGAGGGCGTTGGTGATGACGGCGTACCGTGGACGGAGCCGGGTCCTAGCGTCAGAGCTTGGGCTTGCGATGCGCCTGCCTCGCCGCCGTGTGTCTCCGTCTTCGCCATTGACGTGCTGCTGTCGCTGCTGGACCCGCGATACTCGGATTCTCGGCCTGCCCGACCCCTACCTACACACGACCGTCGCAAAGCAATAGACGCGACATAGGGCCACGACGCCCCGGCGCGCTCCCGGATCCCTCTTCACCCCCGTCCCATCCCACCGCGCATGCCACACAGCCTGGGTACAAGCAGACAAGAGAGCACCCAAAGCTTATTTTCGCTGCCGCGCCCGCATCATGGACGACACGCCCGCCGCCGCACCTGCTGCCACCGCCGCTGCCGCCGCCGCTGCTGCCACTCCAGCGCAGCCCTCTCGCCCTGAAGAGCCGGATTCACGAAACAGCTTACGGCACATTCTGGCCGCCGACCCCCAGATGGACGACTCCAAGCCCTCGCCCTCGCAGGGCACGACGCCTGTCCCCGACGAGAGCGAGGCTGGCGGTGATGCGCCCGAGACGTCGAAGCCCGCCCCCGACCACGACCCGGCGCGCACATACTACACGGCAACAACGACGACTACCCGCCGCAATGCGAATGGGAGCGTTTCGTCCGTCTACAGCGGCAACAAGATCAAGCATCTCAAAAAGGACGACGGTATCCCGCTGTGGCGCAAGGACATTCAGTACGACTTCCTCAAGCTCGTGTTCGAGGATGACAAGCGCGTCTTCACCAAGCAATCCGACTCGACCAGTGGCCATACCTTTGCAGACATCTATCTGGATGCCATGGCAAAAAGCAGCAAGTGCAGCAAGATCCTCAAAGACAAGCTGCTGACGGAGCGCCCGGCTGCAATCAACATGGCCATGGTGTGCCTGCTGGTCAACGTCGGGCGCATGAACACCACGCTCAACTGTAAGAAGCCCCGGAGCCCCTTCCCCAGCCTCACCTAACACGTGACAGTCTTCCCCGAAATGCGCGCCCAACTACGAACCTACCACTCGATTCCCTCGCTCCAGGCGCACCAAGACCCCAACGCCTACAAGCAGCTGCAAGATGCGCCGCGCCTAAAATCTATCCTCAAGGGAGCTACCGAGGACCAAGAGCAACCCAGCACAATTGAGGAAATCATGGCTGCCACCATCCCCCGCACAAATCCCGTAAACCTCATCTTTGTCCTCTCCCAGTACGCCCCCAAAATCTCGGAACTACACTTCTTCCCACCACGCGACTTCTTCGACCTAGTCATGCGCTCCAACTTGAGCAGTAAGAGCAGAGCGACGGCTTTTCTGTGGCTCATGTGGTGGTACCTCGAAAGCGACTTCACCAAGGAGGCTGCCGAGAACAACCCTTTTGGGGCTGGACAACCGGGGCCGGCGGATGACCCAACTACAGCCGAATTTCCCATCAAGTGCCCACCGTTTGAAATTCTGACGCCGGAGCAAGAGGCTTTGGAGAATGTCGACACGGTCGACGAGCAGGCATTTGGCGAAGTCAAGCGAAAGGAGAGAACGGCTATCCTGGCGAGTGATATGGCGCCTGTGGTGACGGGCCCCAAACGCACCAACAAGAAGGGTGAGTGGTATTCTGAATCCAACATACTTGATTTGACAGTAGTGTCTGTGAATGTTGCGCAGTGGACGGTCCGATCGTGTCAACAAGATCTAACTGTGCTGTAGGATTCAATCAGAACCCAGTCTTTTCGATAGCTGCCGATGATGGCGCCTCAACGCCTGGAAGGGACAGACAGTCGCCATCACATGGTAAGATTCATGCTGGATTGATATGGTATGGAATTAACAGCCATTAGGGTCTGCACGAGGACGTGGAAAGCTTGCAAAATCCCTTATGGAACGAGACTATCCCTCAGATACCGACCGTACGCGCTCAGCATCTCCTCCTAACAGCGTCTACAACACGGCCAAGAAGATGGCTACGCCTAACATGCGCATCAACACCCTTCTCAACGAAGACGGCCCGGCTTCAACCCCTGTACCCAAGGGTCCGGGTCGGGGGAACTGGTCCCGCAATCGACAATCCGGTATAGGAGCCAGCGGCGGCCCGGCCGCCCGTAGTTTCAAAGCCAAACTTGATGCGACTAATTCACAAGATGGCCAATCGCCCTCAACATCGGCGCCAACCTTCAACGGCCCCCACGGGTTCTATCTCCCCTTGAACGGCTCTGACCCGTCGCATAAGCGCACGCGGCCGCTGACTCAACACCAACTCGCCGTAGAGCAATACCGCCGTCGCCGCGTCGACGTTATCCTCGACCGCGGCATCCGCATCGAGTACAAGTCAGCCGCTAAGCGACGCCGCAAGGCCAACCCCTTTATCCGCAGCTGGATCCGATGTAAAGGCATGGCCGACGGCTACGACACCGATGAAGAGACCTATGCGCAATTCGGCACCTCCAACGGTCTCATCGACGCAGACTACACAGCCACAGGCGGTGGTGGCGGCACCAAAACACCACCTCCCATGCCCTCTGGCCTGGTCCCCCTCGACTTCGGCGGCGAAGTCAACGACCACGGCGAGGAATCCTATTTCCGCGCCAAAATGCTCAGTCGAGCTCTCCGCCGCCTCGAACGCTGGGAAGAAGGCAAATCGGCGCCGCGTGCTCGCAGACCAAAAGCAGAAACCACAAATGCCTCGGTTACCAGTGCCGGCGGCGCTACCACGGCTACGGCTACCGCGCCGAGACAGGCCGGGCTCGAGAGCGGCGACGAGGAAGATGTAGAGGATCTTATGGATGTTGATGAGGCCGAGGATGTAAGTGATGATGACACCGAAGATGAGACGATGCTTGAGGCTGCTGGTGCTGCTCCTGGTACTACTACTGCTGCTGCTGGTGCTACGGCTACGGCTACGCCTATTCCTGCTGCTAAGGCTGGTGCGAGTGCAAAGTGGGAAGCGGGTGTTTTGCCCCCTTTACCTAGGATGTCGTAGTCCTCTTCTTCTTCTTCTTTTTTTTCTCAGCCTCTGTCTGTATTACCTTGGCCTTTAGTTAATGTCCATGTGTTTCTTCCTTTTTTTTCCTTTTCCTCTTTTCGCCTTGATTTTGATTTTGATTTTGTTTTTTTGCTTTTTCTTCTGATAGTCACTCGAAGCGAGCGCGGGCTTGTATTAGTATGTATGAGCAAGTTGTCAAGTCTTGGGCTGGAAACGCTATCAGATATAGGAGGATAGGAGGATAGGAGGATAGGAGGATAGGAGGATAGGAGGATAGGAGGATAGGAGGATAGGAGGATAGGAGGATAGGAGGATAGGAGGATAGGAGGATAGGAGGATAGGAGGATAGGGGGAGATGGAAGTGTACTTGATAACTGTTCATGAATACTATGAATCAACTCACAACCAACACACACACACACACATACACACACACAAAACAAGTAGATCCTCCTATCCTCCTATCCTCCTATCCTCCTATCCTCCTATCCTCCTATCCTCCTATCCTCCTATCCTCCTATCCTCCTTTCCCTCTCTTGCCTCTGTCCTTTGCCCTACTCCCCTTTAGACGCTACCGCTTGCTCCCCTCCTCCCCTCCTCCCCCTACAGTCCCCCCAACCCATCCAACAACGCAGTCAAACCCCCAACACCCAACAGCGCCCCCGCACTCGCCTTCTTCTTCTTCTTTCTCCTCGTTTCATAACTCCGCCTCGGCGCCGGCCGATCTGCATACCGATCTGCGTAGCGGGAGCGGCTGCGCTCGGCGGAGCGTCTGGTGCGATGCGGACGCGAGGGTTCAGAGTCAGAAGTTGGCGTGTCGGTGTCTGTGTCGGTTTCTGTGTTGGTGTCCGTGTTGTAGTAGTGGCGGGATGGCGGTGGGGGTGGGGGGATTGTGGCTGGCGTTGAGGCGGAACTTGGGACTGGGACTGCGGTGGGATAGGTGGGGTGGCTGGGGAGGTGGGGGGAGCGGCGGGGCGAGGCATGGTGGGCATGGTGGGCGTGTGGATGGGGGTGATGGGAGTGGTGAGGCTGAGCGTAGTTATATTCTTGGTTAAGATTTGGCGTTGAGAGGTGGGGATGGGGATGGAGATTCTGTGGCGGTGGAGGTGGTGGGAAGGATGCTGTTGGATTGGGGCGTTGTAGCGGCGCACTGTGTGGATGGGGATAGTATGGTGGTGCACTGGCCTGCATTGGCTGTGTGGGGTACCCGCTGGCTTGCTGTGAGTAATATGCGTGTCGCGGAGAGTGAGAAAGTGTCGGAGCATGGTGGCTGTAGTGCTGTCCTGTGGGAACTGGGATTTGCAGGTTTGGGGTGCGTGAGTTTATGGCGGTTTGGGGGAGTGGAGGCACGAGGCCTGGGCCTGGTGTCGACTTGGAACGGTCTAGCGGTGGGGGTGGTACTCCTGGTGGTGCAAGTCCTCCTGATGGTAATCCTCCTGGTGCAAGTCCTCCTGATGGTAATCCTCCTGGTGCAAGCCCTGCCGGTGGTGGTCCTCCTGGGGGAGGAGGAGGTACAAGATTGATGGCACTCTTTGCGCGATCGAGAGGTGGATGTGTGGCTCTGGTTACCGGTGTACGAGTTTGATCGAAATGATTGCCTTTCTTACCACTGACTGATGGTTGGTGGAAAGATGATGATCTAGCCTTTGGCTGAGCTGGCGGAGTAGGCGGTGCATTTTCCCGGTATATCTCAACTGTGCGTTCTACGAGACGGTTGACTTGGTCGAATTGCAGTGGCCGCGCAATGCAGAAGCATGTCTCAAATGTGGTTCTTCGACCATCTTGCTTCTCTTTCTGAACTTGGGTGAATGGCAGCCGCGCTTCTTGGATGGCTTCTTTGCACACCCAGCTCGCCATGATCTCGGTCCAGCTGTTGCGCTCTGCAAAGGCAACTGATGGCGGTTGATCGGTGTTGGAGTCGACCTGCTTGGCATCGATAAATCGCCAATGGTATTTCCGCGTGCACAGCCTCCAGGGTATTTCAAGATCGGCTTCGATGGCGTCTTCCTTGGCTTCGACGGCGGCAGCGGCATCGACCGGGGGACCTCCTGAACTGTTCCCTGATGATGAAGTTGTTGAGATACTTGTTTGAGGTGTATGAGGCGTGTCTGCGGGTGTTCGGGGTGCCTGAGGACCAAACTGCTTCTCCGACTCTGGACTGGGCATATTCTTCGCTGTGAATAACGGTTGTACACTTGGTGATCTGCGTGATCGCCATACACCATCGCCCAGTTTCTTAGAACGTTTGCTGTGGTCTTCCTCGCTATCTGATTCAACAGTGGCTTGTTGAGCCTGCTGTCTTTGTCTCCGTTGTTCGTGTTCTTCGTCCTCAAGACGCCTTTCGAACTGACGCAAACTGGTCCACTGATGAAGCAGGTGTTCGGCCTGTGATGCAGAAATCTTGCATACAGAAGGCAGGCCATTAGACCCTGATGTATCAAGGTTGAATAACTCTTTATTGTGGTATGGATAGAGATTGGATGGCTTGGGCGTTTGGTCTTTATCCGTGCTGATCAGACTTTGTGGGCTTTCTTCTTCCATTGTGCGCGCATCTGATTTCGAGGAAGTTTCGAAAATAGTCAAGGCAAATAGTATTGCCAGTTGTTGCTGAATGATGAGAGTCTCTAGTTGAGTTTTTTCATGGTCAACAACTCTGGCAGCTTGCTGTGGCGAAACCGTAGGACGAAGTCTGTTCCATGGTTAGCTGTTTGTGAAGAAAGTGTACACACCCAACACTAGTTAAACAAGCAGCATTGGGCCGAGCGAGAGACTACTCACTTTGACCACATGATGCTTTGTGCAGTGTATAATGTCTGAAGCAAGACGGACAAAGTCGTACTCAAAGCTTCAAGATGAGCCATCAGGTATGCCAACCTTGTCTTCGTAGATGGGTCCGGCTGGGATCCAGTGCTTCCCACAGAACTAGCACTATCTCTTCGGCCATGATGCTGGGTTCCCTCGATTGATGTGGCTGATTCGAAGCTGGTCAAGACATGTTGGGATTGCTCTATGACGTCGTCCAACGCATCAACGGCCTGTGAAAAGTGTTAGTACGGCTATATGAGTTTTTTTTTGCTGTCATAACTATCCATTTGAATGAAACCACGCTTCCAGGCAGAATACATGGATTTGCTCAACAGAAATATTAAGCATAGTGACGCATAAGAGGATGACAAGTCATGTGACACATGCTCGGATGGCGTCTTGAGTAGTCTCAACGTACCTCTGGCGAAGGCAAGCGATCGTCCTCCTTGATAATGGTCCCAACCTGCTTGAGTATACTCGCAAAAGCATTAATCTTATTCGCGACAGCGACGAGCTCCTGGGCAGCCTCAGGTGATTCAGCCGCTATCCTGAACAAGCCCAGCGCCAGAGCCGAACTCCTCGATACGACGGGTAGAATGGCAGCGAGTACCGCCATGCCTGCTAGGGATCCAAGGGACAGGCAGCTTCCAGAAGAGCAAAGAGAAGGAAAAGTGGCGATCTGGAGGGTGAAGCGCAGCCTTGTGCGGGCATGTTGCAAAGAGATTTGGACCGCATCCATGTGCCCGTGTCTCCCCTAGCTAACGACAGGCACTAGTAGGTGTGAGGTCATAGTGTAGCTTTGCATGCAGGGCTCTCTGACCGACAACTGAATCCGGCGAAGATCACGCAGACGTGATTGGCCGAGGCGCAGGCACGCGAACTGCTGCATTTGATGCCCTTGCTGGACGGCTGAAAATGTCATGAGAGCGGAGAGTTGCTGTCATATGTAGTTTGCGCTGAGGGACTGGGAGGCAGCAAACACCGACAAAGACTATGGCTCGAATAAGTGTATCCAGGCCGTGAGAATGAGAAACCGACTATCCGCGGGCTGCTTGAGGCGTTACGTACCAACGGTCGAACAAAAACGGCGCCAATGGCGTGGCATAGGATGACGCCGGCTATGCGGACGAAATTGGCCACCTGATCTGTCATGGCGTTTTGAGCCTCAAGCTGAGGTGTGGCAATGCGCAGTCTGCCTCGGGCTCCTTACGTAATACGCCGATTGCAGTTTAGTTGCAGTTGTGGTCGAGTTGGTTGTCGTGAATACCGCGCGAAGGGAAATTCGGCGATATCATTCTACCACGGCTTGCGACTACAGATATCGCTATTGCAGTTGCCGATTAGAGATAATATCGCTGTTCAAACAGTCTCTACCTTGGTGTCTGTTTACTAACCACCAGCTGTTTATCTCGGTTGCGGCAATGTGTCCAGTCAAGGCGTATCATGGCTGTTCATCCAGCTCGAGTATCTACAGTGATCTGTGCCAGAGGCCACTAAAATGCGCGCCATATCTCGTATCTCTCGAGGCGCAAAGACGGCCGGGATGGATGCGGGGCCACGTAGGTGCATGGGACATGGCGGGACATCAGCAGACAATCATGATGCGAGGCATGTGCGAGGGCGCTTCACAATCAATTTGCAACGTTGGCGAGCATGGCTTGTCCATATTCCCTGTACGCAACACCGCTCTTTTCGGCGCTGTGTTGCAACATGTCTTGTACACATATTTCTACACGCAGAATACAGTGGCTTGGTTAGCTGGCAAAGCCCTCAAAGTTCCACTGCCTGCCCTGGCCCGGTCTCGGCGACAGCGTTGCGAACTGCGCCACCGTGTCCCAGTTAATCTGGTTCCACCACCTCTCGAGGAACTCTCTCTTTCCTCGGACGCCGTAGTCCTGCAACCAGACATGCTCCCACGTGTTGACGCACAGCAGCGGCACCACGTCCACGCCGCCCAACGGCTTCTTGGGCCCTTGATTTTGCTTGGCCGCAGCCCCAAACGCGCCCACCGTGTTCAGCGCTTGGTACGAGTCTGCATTGTGTGTGTTGAGGTCGTGCGACTGCCGCCTGTAGTGGGCGCCCGACAGCGGTGATCCGGCCAGGTAGGTCGGCAGGATGCGCAGACTGCCAAAGGCTGTGTTGTCCGTCTGCACCAGCCAGACGAAGCCAGGGCCGAACATGGCCTCGGCCGTTGCCAGGAACGTCTCGCGCAGTGTGTCCATGGACGAAAAGTCCTTGTTGATTTGCACCTGCAGGTCGGTCGACGGCCGCGACTGCACGTGTGGGTTGGTGTTGAGCCCGCGGAAGAAGAAGTGGTTGTTGAAGGCCATGCTGGCGACATTGAAGGCGTACGCCTTGGTGGGGTCGCGGGCGAATTCTATGACGAGCGACTTTGCTTCTTGGTTCTCGTATCCTTGGCCTACGCTCGCAGTATCAGTCTCGCATGCCGTTTCGCACCGCAATGGCCCAGGGCGTACCGTCAGTCATGGTGTTCAATTCGTCAGTCATGTGCTGCTGGTAGTCGGTATATGCCGTCTTGAACCCCCGGGGCGAGAGCAACGGCGGGATGCCCTCTTTCTCCAGTTCCGCATGGTTGTCCAGCGCCGGGACTGTGTATTTGCTGCGGGCGAGCGACGGTATTCTCTATTCAGCGTCAGTCTCTCTCTCTCTCTCTCCCCCACTTGCGCAAGACCACCACCACCACCGCCACACATACCCTCCAAGCCCCAGCCGCAGACGGAATGGCACCCGGCCGCCGGGCCAGACACCGTGCAATCATGATCTGTGTGGATTAGCCGGGCGAGCGATTGAATTGACAGAGCCAAGTCGTGCCTCCAAGCTCGTCTTTTTCCCCGACCGAGCCTTGCGGGCCTTCGCGCTAACCCCGCCGCCCAATCACGACGCGTCCTCGTCTCGCCCACCAAAAAGTCCAAAACTGCAAGCGCCCGCATCACGTTTCATCCACCCAACCGCTGGCCAACGCATAGCCACACGACCAAACGAGCCGCCTGCCACTGTCGACCCTGCTAGCAACGCCCTACAGCTGTTCGGCCAGCCATACGATGATTGCTGTCCACTCGGCGCCTCCACTGCTCTATTTGCAGAACATGGCCAACGTCACATGCGGCTCTTGCGTTTTTCGCTTTTTGCACCTAGATATATCCAAAGGTAGGTCGTGCCTCTCGTTTGCATATCCCCGTTTGTTTCGCAGATCGCTCTCTCCTGTCTGTTTCTCTGCTCTTCGTCTTCTCGTCACTCTGTTTCATTTCGAGTCACTTCGTCGAGTGTCGCCGGTCCGACCTCTCCACTATAATTCCAGACATACCCGCCCTCGCCAGTGCCATGGCTCCAATTACAGTGTCTCCGAGGCTATCAAGGATACCCCTCGTCTGCCTCGCCTTTCTGTTCATCACAACTACACAAGCGTCCGCTCTCTTCCTACGACAGGCAGAAACATGTGCAGGGAAGTCCGATCTTCAACAGTGCGGAAGTGACTTTCCCTCATCCTTCTGCTGCCCCAAGGATTCTACCTGCATGGGCCTCAACAGCGGCTCTGTAAAATCCGTCATCTGCTGCCCTGCCGGCTCAGACTGTTCCTACATCCAGCCCACCACCTGCGATGTTACCCAGCTCAACGCCACTCTCCACCCCGATAACCAGATGCACCTGTCCAAGACAGAAGGCATTGAGCTACCCAAGTGTGGCGACAAGTGTTGTACCCTGGGCTACACATGTCAAAGCAACATGTGCGCCAAAGACACTTCGCCCAAACCATCCCCCTCCAGTCCCTCCACAGCAACACCTTCATCCACTTCCCCGGCCTCTGCCTCCCAAACCTCAGACTGCCCCGCCTCTTCCCCCGTAGAAACAAAGCGCTCTTTCAGCGTCCGCTCCTTTGTTGCAGGCTTCTTCCCCGGCCTCATCGTTGGCGCCCTAAGCACCCTCGCTCTCCTCTGGGTCATCAGGAAGCGCCGCGAAACGCAAGCCAAAAGCCGATACTCGGGAGACTTTGGCCATGTTGCGCGCCAGATCAGCGATCCCATCTACGATCCGCAGCACGCCGCACGTACCGACTTTATGCGAAGGGGAAGTCGGTCTGCCAGGTCGTCACCAAATACCATCAACAAGGTGGTGCAGGGCATGAAGGAAACCAACAACAACACTGCAGCCCACGGCTTCACCCCCAGGATAAAAAGCATGTGGGAGCGCACTCCCAAGCTAAACTTTGGCTTTACAGCTAGTCTACCCGCGAACCCCGCGCCGCCAGCCGTCCGCGCCGGAAACCCCTACAACGATCCGTATCAAACGCCGCCGCCGAAACCCAAACGCATTCATTCAGCGCGCCGCACCAGCTCAAGACGCACCAGCGCCCTACCTCCACACGTCCAAGTCCGTCCAAGTGCCGTGCGTACAACCAGCTCGGAAACAATCGACGTGCTCATGCCCTCTTCGGCCGCTGCTACTAGTGGTAACGCCGTATACCCTGCAAACCACAGCAACGACTCTGGCTTCCTGCAGCCCCCACAAGCTCCTGGTATGCGGGGCGCAAATCGATATACGGCTGACTCTGCGCACACGACTTTTACAAAGTTGATGGAGCGCGCGGGGTTTGACGAGGGACCGAGGCAGGAAGTAAGGGATTGGAGGACTCCTAGAGTCTGATCTTCTTCTTTTGCTGTCTTGTCCTGTCTTTTTCTTCTTTTTTGTCTTGTTTTACAAGCTCTTCTTTTTTCTCTTCTTCTTCTTCTTCTTCTTCCTGGTACATATTTTTTCTCCTTCTCTTTGTTATCTCTCACTCTCTTTTTTCGTTTTCTCTCGCTTACATCCATCCATTCACTCATTCATCACTCTTTACGTTCCTTTTTTTTTCAGCGCTGGCGTTTGCGACAAAAACCCTTTTCTCTCTCTCTCTTTCTCCTCTCCCAACCTCTCACGCACAGCATACTTAGACTGATACCTGACTCACAACTTTGCATATACTGGCTTTCATGTGGCGGGCGGCGTCTGGGATTTATTCTGCACCTTTTTTTCTTATTCCATTCCATTCCGTTTTTGCTTTCGGATTGTCTTGTTTCTATTTTTTCGCAAATGATACCACTTCAGCGCCGGCAGGTTCCCCGGCTTCTTTTCTTCCATGAGAATGTAGTTATGAGTATGAGTATATTACTACATAAATTTTTTTCTCAAATGTCAAGACAGTCTTAAACTTCCGTCTTTTTTTTTTATTTTGTTCTCCTGAGTGATTTGCATGATTCCTATTGTGACTTCACCATTCCAACGTCTTGTGTGTGTGTGCAAATATGCGTGATACCCTTTTCTTTCCTCCTGGAACCCTCTCTCTCTCTCTTTTTTTTCATTCAGTCATGTTGTATTGCACATCTGTATCGATGAACATGACCAAAATCCCTCACCAAGCTGCAAGCACGATAATAACCCCCCGATTTATTCAATTGCCACCAAGTCGCCGGTCATAACATGGTATGTATCTAACAGCCTTTTTCCAACAGTACGAGTATGGATACGCAACATGATGATTCTTCCGTTGCAGTTATGCACGAGAACAAAAACGAAATAGAAAAGAAAACTCTGTGTGTATATTATAAGAAAATGGAATGGAATGGAGGATATGAGGGTGTATACTGTACAACCATGAAAAGGTCAAGGGGAAAGAAGAGAGAGAGAGAGAGAGAGAGAGAGATGGATACACCATTTCTATACAACAAGGCTAAAACCTAGTTCCAGCATTCAAATCTCCATCTGCATCCACACGGGCATCTACATCCATCCTATCCGCGGGACCAGCCGCAGTAGCAGCAGCAGCAGCATTCCCAGCATTATCTCCAAGCAGCCCATCAGCCGCAACAGCAGCAATAGCATTCAGATCCGCGATTCTGTCTTCTACAGCGCCAGCGCGCAACTCCCTGTCTATGGCAGTCTGCACGACGGGCTCGATGGTCTTTCTCCGCTTGCCAAACAGACAATGCCATAGGTCGTCCTCAGGCACGACTTCACCGTCGCCTTTTTTGCGCAGCAAGTTGCGGAGGGGCGCGGCCTGGAGTTCTGCCGAGTTTGCTGCGTCGAGGGTGTTTTCGCCTAGGACGCGGAGGGCTTGTGCGGCATCGGGCATTGGGGTATCGGTGTTGTTGTCGGAATGAGCTTGGTGGGTGTTGCGTTTGTTGTCGGACGAAGAGGAGATGTGTTCTAGGCGCCTCTTGACGCTGATGTCGTAGATGGCTTCTTCCACCGTCCCCGCTACGAGGTACATGAAGACGGTTGTGCCGCGCTTCTGCCCGATACGATGGACACGGCTGATGGCCTGCAGCTCAATGGCGGCGTTGATGAGCGGTTCGCAGAGAAACACGTATGTGGCGTTGACCAGGGTCAGTCCTGATGAGTCGGATTTTGCGTCGAGGAGAAGACACTCGATCGAAGGATCCGTTTTGAACAGCCGGATACCATCGCGGTCTGCAATGCTGGTGGCGCCAATCTTCCATTTCTTGAACGCTTCGCGCAGCACAGAGAAGAAATCGCCGAATTGAGAGAATATGATGGACTTGGCGCCTGGATCGTTGGCCCGGATCCAGAGGAGGTGGCGTGCAATCATATCGACCTTTGTACCAAAAGAGCCATCGAGGTCGATTGTTTTGATCTGTTTCATTGTGGCGGTGCTGATATCCGCATAAATGGATGGCGGTGATATTGCGGATGATGGGCCTGGGGTGGAGGAAGAAGACTCCTGCATTGGGGTATTGGCCGTTGTACCTGTGCTCGTCTCTTCTTGCGCTTTGATTTCCGTGGGTTTGAAACTGATGTCTTTGAAATCCGAGGACCCTAGTTTTTGCTTGCAGGTGGGACAAGTCCGATGAGCATGCCACCATTGATTTATGCATTCTTTGCAATATTTGTGTCCGCATGTTGTCAGAACGCCCATTTCAATGTCTTCCCTACAGATGATGCATTCAGCCGTAGCTTCGTTTTGGTTCTCAATTCTGAGGTGCTTGAGGTAAGTGCACTTTGTTTTGAACCCAGCAGCACTCTGCTTCTTCTTCTCGCGCAGACGTTCCGTTTCGTTGAATGTACGAGCGTCAAAGGTCTCGTCTAGGTCTTCCTTGTACTTCGCAACCGTATCTGAAATGCGTTGAAACTGTCGGTAGTACTCCAGGCGCTGGTTCATGGTGGCTCGATACATCTCCTGCTCTTTCTCCAACTCGGTAATCGCTTTTGCCTGTTCCGTAGCAATAGCCTGTACCTTCTTCAGTTGCTCCTGGAGTATACTCAATTCTGCTGCAGCGCGTACATCACCGGCACCCGCCTTCCACTGTACACTAGTAATAAGCGAGCGAATGCCTGATACAACGCCTTTCAAGGATCCAGCCTTCAGTGTGCTTTTCAGCTTACGTCGGGTGTGTACAACCTCAATGACTAGTTCGGGTGCATGGCCCCTATCTTCCTCATTTTCTTTCTTGAGGGCCTTCTTTTCAGCAGCCTTCAGTTCGTGTTCGACCAGAGCGTCCTGAAGCCCATGTACAGCAGCATGACGGTCGGCGACCAATGTGCGAAGAGCCATGATGTACACATAGAGCTCATCTTGAGCTTTGAGTGATTCATCATACTCCACGCCAGTGGTCTCTTGTTCGTCGTCATCGTCTATTAGTCGCGTCAGAAGAATTTCAACAATCTTCGAGCGCCATATCTGTATCTGCTCCGCCTGTGCATTCAAGAAATCACCAAGATTGTCCATTGTCTCGAGGATTTTCCGTGCTTCGATACCACCCATGTCTGGAAGGTCACTGATTTTGCGTATCTGATGAAATGGCTTCTTGGCGTTGACTTTTTCCATTTGCTGCTGAGCTCTGTTCTTCGACTCTTTCAAGAGTTCACGCCGGACCGCTTTGGCCGCCTCATAGTAGTTTGTCTCGGCTCTGTCTTTCTCATGCCAGTCCTCGGAGCCTGGCTCGGTAAGAGAGGGATCCTCTTTGATTTGATGAAATGATGTAGCCCTGAAGAATTGTGCAGCATGCTCGAGCTCCAGGAATGATCGCAGCGATTTGCGTAAGACTGGGATACGGCCCATCTTGTCGTCCTCTACCTCATCGCCTTCCCCATCTTCGCGAAGACTAGCTGTAGAAGTCCGACCTAGTTTCTCCTGTTCCTCTGATAGCTCAGCCCTGCATATTGCGATGTACGACTGTGCCTCTAGTAGGGCAGCGCTGTAGTATGGAAGCGCAGATTTGGCTCTGTTGGCAAAATCCCCAGCATAGGCTTGAATGTGACCTTGTTTGAGTAGGCAAAGGATCATCTCACGAGCTTCAGCCTTCCACTTTGTGTCGTTTTGTTCTATCATGACCTCCAAAACTTCATTTACAGTGCGGAGAGCGCCGTTCTTCGCACCCAAGGCTTTTCGATTCTTTCTGCCAACATTCACATGAAGACACGTCTGCCGCAGCCTAACCAGCCACTCCCGCATTCGTTCGGTCCGCTCCTCATCCTCTAGATCACGCTCTTCATCCAATGGTAAACCTTCTGGTGTGAGCCAACAAGCATCACACATTTGGCGCATCATCTCATCGTAGTGCTGTTCCTCGATAGTGGTGAATGGAACAGTGATGACAATACGCTTCTGTGGTGGCAACTGCAACTCGTCGCGGATCTTGTCTTTTGTATTCCGAAGAGTTATCTCGTGGAATATTCCCGTAAAGGATGCTTTGTCGAGTCGGCTCCAAACTGCTCTGCTGTTTGCAAAAGCATCGCAACGAAGGAATACTAAGAGACCACGTAAATCCTGAACATCCTTGCGCAGAGGGGTTCCGGATACGGCCCAGGCATTGCAGCGTGGTATTATTCGAGCTACTTGGGCGGCTTGACTCACTCCACTCTCTACCATCTGTGCTTCGTCAAGACAGACCCTCCACCATGAGATGCCCATGAGCGGGCTAGTTCGACGCTCGTGGCGTTTGGCGCGTCGAGAGCTGCGATCAGGGGGAGGAACGGCATGGTGGATCTCTTTGGAGAGGACTTGGTATGTGGTCACAACTACATCGTGTTGCATCAAATAATCAATCGATGCCGCGTCATGTTGGTTCTTCGGTGCTGATGTAGGTGGGAGTCCCTTGTAATGGCAGACCTTGAGCTCGGGGGCATGGGTATGCATTTCGCTTATCCACTGCTCCAGAATGGAGGGTGGGGTAATGATCAATGTAGCCCCAGAAGGTTTTACATGGACACCTGTATATTCATCGTAGACATTGCCCGGGGGGACATCTCGCTTGTGGTGCGATATGAGCGCGATTAGCTCAACCGTCTTGCCCAGACCCATCTCCTCAGCGAGGATCCCGCCTCTAAGTGCTTGCAGCGAATCCCCTTTTGCCGCAGCCAAGTCGGTTACTATAGTGCCCCGGAGCTGGCTCACGTAGCACAGTCGCCCTGTTGCATCCTGCGTCTGTCGCAACGAGGCCGGTGGCGAAGTGTTGACAAAAGGTTCGAGTGCGCCTGAGGGAGAGAATGTGACACCTTCGCGTCGGAGGAGCCAATCCACAGTGCGCTCTTGGAAAGGCAACATTGCCGTATCTGTCAGAGCTTGTCCGATGCGTGGCGAGACCTTGAGATCTGGCGGTGGTACATGGACAGAGTCGTAGAAATCAGACAGGGTCCATTTCTTGTCGTCCTGCGTGGCTGCATCCCTTGTGTAAGACGAGAGAAGCTTCAGGTCCTCATTCATAAAGTGTCCCCGCACATTATGGTCTTCAACGACTGATATGCCTAATGTCCATCGTATCTCGACTTGCAACTTGTAGGAGGCTTGTCCAGGCTTAGGCCGATGCAGCAGACAGCGACTGAAGGCAGCCCGAAACACAGGCTTGGACTTTTTCCCACGCCGCGTAGTGGCAAGTGTGGCGGCGTTCCGGAGGTGCGGTAGTATCGAGTCTAGTACAGGGGCCGGCGTCGCGGCAACCAGGTCTACTCCAGTGTTCCTGGCTATGTTGAAGAGCTCTATTCGGAGAGCCGGCTGAGAGTGCTCCCTGCGGACGAGCTCCAGCTCTAGGGCTACAGATTCTTGTAATTCGGTCGGCATGTACATCATACTAGGGCCCGCGGGCGATGCAGGAGGTGACTTCTGTACATGTGTCAGTCTAACATCGTGGAGACAAAATGTATGTACCCACCAATTCCAGACACATGTGGGCCAACACAATGCTGTTCTTGTCGCTAACTTCGGGCAGCGACTGTATGGACACAGCGCTGCCATCTGCGACTTTGCGCCGCTTCGCGGGTGGTTCTTCTTCCCTCTGCGCCTCCGGTATGGCGAACAGAGAGAGTATGGTACGGATGCTACTCGAGGCATCTTGCGCGGGAGGCGATGGCCCCTTTCCAGGCTTCCGGGTGTCAGTAAGTGCATAAGGACTGGCGCTCGAGATTTCGGCGCTTCCCTGGAACGAAGCCGCCATCAGGGTAGAAGTGAAGGGTAAGAGGAACGTTGCGGGAAGTGTAGGCACGAGCCCAACGCGGAGGTGTGAGCGCATGGCCGCAGATCGTTGACGCGCTAAGATAAGTGATAGACCGGGGGCCCTGCCCCACAATGAACTGACGGCTCCCAGACTCAGCCCATGACATTCCACCTTAACCTCTCACACGCGCATGGGAAGTCGTAGATTGGGTAAACAAAAATATGGACTTCATTCGTGCAGCGATACATAACTATTTGAGCCGCCAAGTTACCATATACAGCCGAGGAAAAATCACCAAGGTCTTATGCATCAGCAACCCCCCTTGTATGTCACGGCCCGTCTCTAAAGCTTTAAGGGATATCGTGCCCTTGCCGTGAAAGCAATGATCTTGCCTCTGACAAACAAACCCAACGCATCTTGCGTGTAGCTTCCGATTAACCATATGTGAATAGACGGATCCTCATGCAATCCATGCAATGTCTGACCAGTCGGATTGCCAATAAAGATATGTGTCAGCCCTCCTTCGTGGTCCCAAGGCAGCAGGCTTCGGTACTGTGGCCGGTTTCGTCGCGGCGGATGCCGTCAGGCCTGGCAAGGTGATTGCAAGCTGTTGTATCTGACGCCTGATGTCTTACGTACGCCTCTTTCTCGTGAGCATGTGAGGTGTGGCCCAATAGCTTGCGATATAGTTCCAGAATCCGGCAATATCCATCTACTCTGTAGCCAGCACTTTTTTGATGGGCTCTGCAGCCTCGATGAACTTCTCAACCATTGTATCAAGCTTAGTGAGATCATCCTTGCCCTTCTTGACTTCTGCAATGAGCTTCTGTTTCTGCTTGAGTTTCTCCTGTCGCCGCTCTTCCAGCTTGAGGCGGACTTGGTGTTCGTGTTCGATGCGCGCTGTCATGAGCTCGTGCTCGGTCGATTCCTTGTGCTCAGGAAATTCTTTAAGGAACTGTTCGCGGGAGATGAGGGGGAGTTTCATATACTTGTGACTGCAAATCTGTCAGTTTTGTAATACAGCATCCTGCAGGGCAACATACTCGTAATTTTCAGCAGCAGAGATCTCTGAGCGCAGCGACTGCTCCTCATACTTCAAGTTGTGCAGACCCAGAATGAGCGCGTCATTGACTGCCCGATCATCTGATGTCTTTGCCTTCTCCTCGCGCACCTTGAGCACGCTCTGCCTGTAAAGCGTCTTGATGATGGACAGTTGCGCGCGGATGTACTTTTCCCTCTTCTCGATTTCCAGCGTCGCCTTTCTCTCGTTCTCTCGGTCCTCGCGCGATTCCGATTTTGGGTTCCTGGGGTGCGCAAGCTGGTAGTCTACCAGGTCGTTGATGAGCGTCTTGAGCTTCTGTACTTCCTTGTAGAGACGCGCATTGTGCGGCGTCTTTACGAGATCGGCCATGTTGAAAGTGGACAGGTCGGCAGGCATGACGTCGCCAGACTCGGCGAGATTCTGTTTCTGGTCACTCATGGTGGCGTCGTGAGACGACAGTCGCGTGATTTCTGGGCTGTTGTCCGGGATATGAAGCGCAGTGAGCTGGTGTTGCGCCCAAGGCCAAAGGGACCGTGCATGTTTGACTTCTGATCACGTGAGCAGGCGTCCATGCCGTGTAGCGAGCGCGCAGTCTCGATTCTCATCCGCAATTTGCCTTGACATGTGGCGCCGCCACTTACACCCCCTTACTTACCCTGCTACTAATAACTCTTCATATCGATATGCATCCAAACATCTTGTCACACCTCGAATGACGAGAATTCCCCAGGCTGTTTCAGGCAAGCCCGCCCTGCGGAGAAGACATGGACATGCACACACGGGTGCGACAACAATGCAAATACCACAGTATGGCCCTTTCGGACCCGAGCACAATATTCGCCTATCAGCCAAGTTTATTGGGGGCGGCATGTCCGCTGGGTGGCGCCATGCATGAAATCGCAATATTGGGGAAGCACTGATCAGCGGTTCTGCCTGTGCAGGAGCATACGCATCTCCACGTGCGTGTTTACTACACATCTACACTGACACCGTGTATCGAGGATGCCTGTGTACATAGGGCGAGGGCTAGTCGTCCGCGTATGCCGTGAATACCGCCTCCTTGGATCGACTAGTTGATAGGGCGGCACGGCAGATGACCGCAGGCCATGAAACAAGCCTGCGGAGAGACATGGCCTTGAGCCGCGTGGATCACAACTTGTGATGTTCTATTACGGTAAGCGAGCCCAAAATCGTGGTAATTACGGTATTGTATCAGTTACCATACAGAAATGGGTGTTGTGATTACATTGTAACAAGCTAACGCATTTAGTACTAGTACTGGTTTTGCAGCAGCCGGCTCGCCACCACCAGCCTCGTAACCACCAGCCTCGCTCGTCACCACCAGGCGGCTCGTCACCACTAGGTTTTTGGTAGGTAGAGTGTTACGGAAAAGATAGCTATATAGGCCACGTCGCCAAACTACCAAAAACTGTGCAAAAACGGGTCTGTGCGCGACTACGGAGGTCCGGAGGTCAAACCTCCGGTAAACGAGGCTCTGCAGGGCTGTAATTACGGTGCTTACCAATACCGTACCAGTTACGGTCCAGTTACGGAACATCCCTAATCATAACACAATGGCGTAATTCTGGTGCATGTCAAGACGGCTGCCTCAGCACCGCTGTCCGAAGCTCCATGTCAGTCGCTACCATGATACGGCAGTTCCATTGAGCAGGCCCTCCTTTCCAAGCGCCCCTCTGGCGTGCTGAGTTATCTCTCCACGTTCATTTCCGATCGTACCTTGCTGCGCCGCACTTGGCCACCCTTCCCCTTTTTCCAAAAAACAGCTTTAGGTCGTGGAACACCATGCCAACGCTCCACACATGGCCACGTACAACTCCGAGTTTTCCAGGCGGCATGAATGCGAACCCACTGCTAAGAGACGAAACGGTACACGTACAGGTACAGCGGCGACTCGAACTAGGACAAACGGCGAAGAGGTTGACAAGGGCATAGAGTGCTTTATCACGCTGCATGGCCACCCCTGTGTGGCGCAGATGGTGTGCCATTAGCGTGGCAGGGCTAGTACCCCGTGGCGCTTGGGCATGTGTTTGGACGATGGTAGGATCGAGCCGCTACGAAAAATCGCGGAGGATTTGCAGGCCCTGAGGGGCTGTGTTATTAGGGCCTGTTCAGTAAAACGGAGGTTCAGATGGCACAAACGGAGGCTCCGTTTTGTTAGTGCAGCGCTAATAAAACAAACCCTGCTTAGTGCTTATTTGCCCTCTATTTCTACTACTTTGGGCGAAACGGAGCTCCGTTCAAAGATGGCACCCTCTAAGGTGCTATTCTTTCTAAAAACTCCGTTTGCTGACATAGTTACACCAATGCTGTGCTATCTATGACGTGGTAGCTTACGTAATCAACGAAATGGCGTTTTACCGAACAGCTCTCTATTCTGTGTTCTTTTAATCTAGTAAGCCTATCTACAGTACTATAGCGGTAAGTTTTGTGACTTTTAGACTGAGTTTCGCACAGGTTAGGCATGACGTAAGGCTTTCTTATACAGTAATTATCACTAACTAGGCTATTATAGTAAGCTAAGCAGAAGAAAACAATCCTGAAATAAGTAAAGCTAATTAGATAAAAAAATGCTAAGCTAAGAATACGGTGGCTAAGGCAGGCCTTGGCTAGTTTCGGAGTCACAAAACTTACCGCTGTAGTACTGTACTACGCTAATAGAAACGCTAAACCCAAAGCAGCGAAGGAAACGGAGAAAGGAAACGGAGAACCGAACAGGCCCTTAGCCTTTTGGGGGGAAGATCCTGTCTGCGCACATCCCGTGACGGCCATTCAGGCCGCGGGATTTGCAGTCACAGACGAGAGTTGGTAGTCCATGTTGGTTGGGCACACTTGTTTTCAGCAAGGATCGGCTATGCGCTCTGCTAAGAGAGCTCTGCACAGCTGGTGGAGCGAAAAACCCTTGGATGTCGCAGTTTGCGTCTCAATGCCGAAACCTTAGTCCAGCGCCAGTCGTGTTGCCTATCTACTAAGGTACGTCGTGGCGAGCTGCAGGCGCTCATAACCTGGCTAGACCCCTCAGCCTCACGGCGGACGATGATGCCCAGATCCACCTTACGGCCTTTAAATTTGGAACGTTCAACTGGCCCAACGGACCTTGCTAACGACCTTGCTAACATGCCGGGGCCATGTCCACTGGAAACCAGTTCGCCCCCTACTCATGTCGTTGGCTGTTATATCCCAAAAGATCTCGATTGCGATCTTGTGCCGCGCAGCCACATACGCCTATGACTCAAGAGCAAGGGATGTCTACAGAAACTTCGCTGGCCTTTTCGGAGTGCACTAGCCCATCGCTGGCTATTTGTGTGCGGCAAAATCAGGCCGACCTGTGTACCCGATGATCAGCGCTGGAATACACCTAGTGAAACGGTGCACATTACGCACAAGCGTTGGGTTTCTCCAGCCTCGGCACAGGTCCAAGGTTGGGCTGAAGATCATGGGCATGCGTCAAGACAGAAATGAAGTCACCATGGAAACCGCATTTGGGAGCAGTGGCGTTTGTCAAATTGCTTTCCCCCGTTCAGGTTCGGCGCTCCGTTCGCTCAACATGGTGGGCGTGTACGCCGCAGCTGATGGACTGGATCCGTTACTTGGTACCCGAGTCAATGTCATGTAGCCAGGACGCAGGCCACTGTGACGGGCACTATACATTAGCTCGACAAATCTTCACCGATATTAATCTCCGGAGCCATGCCGAAGCTTTGCACGACTGCATTATCACAATCCAGTAATCCACATACACATGCAAGGCTGCCACAAATTGGAGAAGATGGTTGGCAAGACGACCCCATTCGGCACGTCAATGGACACAGTCTGCGACTTGACTCACGGCTATCAGCTAGAACAAACCTAGAACGAGATAGCCGAGTACTAGGGCGTAGCATGCATATGCAAAGATGGGAAAAGTCTATTCAATTGAAGAGAAGACTCCCTTTTGGACCGCTAGGGTCGGTCCTAGACTTCCCCCCATAGACGCAATTTTCACGTGGTATGGCAGCTGTCAAGTTCAGGATATCCTTGGATGGGCTTTGGAAAGTCGCCACAAGGATAGGGTGCAGGGGCCCGGAGCGGGCGATAAGCTAAACTTTATTCCAGGCCCCCTCGAACGTCCTGTACAGCTTTGGAGCTAGGGCATAACGCGATTCGTTTGAATACGGGTGCTTGACTCGAGGCCCATGTAGCCTAGAGCAAGCGAATGGGTTAACTTACCGTGGTGCCTGTTCTTACTTGGAGAGGGTGTCGAGTCTGGGCCGCTTGGTAGTGCACTCTCTGTATGTAAAGAAGACTCGTTGACCCGCCCGCTGCTCTGTGTTTCTTCTTTCCTCAGCCTTCGTTCCTTTCTCTCACTTTCAGCCATGGCTCCAGTAAAAGAAACTTCGCTTGACCTGTGCAAGCGCATCAATGCACAAGGAAACACGATTGCGATTCGCATGCTCGAATATCTGAGCACTGCGAAGACACCTCTCCATGGCTTTGAGCCGCTTTCAAGAGAGTTCGTAGGACTCTGCCAGGTACATCTCGCACGGCAATCCTTGATACAACAAAGCTCACTGTGTCCACTAGGTACTATGGTCCATCGAGTCTGGTGTTGCAGAAACTAGCAAATCACGCTCCGGGCTCCCTGTGGAAGTTTCCCAGGAGCTTGACAGGCGGGTTCGTCAGGTCGGAGAGGAGTTCTCGGTGCTGGCTCAGATGGTCAACAAATGTAAGTCTCAGCAGTAATTTGCTTTTGTTCTGTTATCGGTTCTGCGTTTCCATCTATTCGCGTCATCGTGCTAACGCAGCCCCTTTTCAGTTGTCGACAAGGAGAACCACAAGGGCGGCTTTGGCATGAAGTTTCGAATGATGTTTGCCGATACTGACATTGATAAAATGCGCCACACACTGTCCCGGAGTCGTGACTCGCTCAAAGTCAGCTCAGCCATGTTCCGATGGACACTTGGCGAAGCCAAAGCGGATGCCTCGATGGGAATTGGCTATGCCGGGCTGATAGCTGCGCTGGACCGTCTAGACCCCAGCAAAGCTGCAAGCCTTCCCCCTCTGCATCCTGCTCCAACAGCGCATCTCCCACCGACGCCACCAAAAGCTATCGGCCATCTCCAAGAATCTGTACTCATGTCCACACCTACTCAAGTAGACAGGCCATCCCTACACGACCTTCGCCTCGAAGAAGGCTACTCTTACCACAGTGACCGTGCGCACTCGCGACAAGAGGAGATTGCATTGGCAGCGAGTGCTGTCGATGTGCACCAAAAGGCCTGGCGGCCTCCACAAAGTGCTCGTTCGAGCGAATCGGTTAGAGAGACCATGTATCAACAGAACCTTCGCTATCACGACGAAGCTGCATTCGAGGACGCCATCTCATCATATTCCGGTCGTTCGCCCATGGAGGAAAAGCTGCGTGCGCTCAGCCTTGGAGATCGCGATCGTTTCGAGGAACCGCTGCCTTCATCCAAGGTCGATTCTGTCGTAGCTTCCCAAAACTGGGGTCCGCGCCAGAGTGGCGGATCAAAGAACATTGGTGGCAAAGCTGCACTCTTCAGTGCGGTTGAACAGAGAAGACACCGGATCCTGGAGCAATTGCTCGAAGGTGGCGCCAAAGCAGAGCCACACGTCGAGTCTGCAATGCTTCGGGTCGCCGTACACAACCAAGATGTAGAGACTCTTGTCTTGCTCCTTCGCTATGGTGCGGATGCCAACGGCTTCGACCGTGAAGGCATCACGCCCTTGTTCGCCGCCACTCGTACCCAGAGCCTCGAATGCGCAAAGGTTTTGCTCAAGCATGGCGCTGACCCGAATCTTTCGGCTGGCCCCGACTCCGAGTCTCCCTTGTCATTGGCCGCAACGCAAAATTACATCGACTTTGTTCAGATATTCCTTACTAGTGGGGGTGATATTGGGTTCGTCATGGAGAACGGTTCGACAGCACTCATCTCCGCAATGAACAAGACAACTTCGCCAAAATGTGTCGAAGTACTCCTCAGTTGCAAGGGAGACGCCGATGCTAAGAACGGAGAAGGTACTACTCCGTTGTTCCAGGCTATCCAAGCAAACCGCGTAGACCTAATGACGGTGCTACTCGACCACGGCGCAAACCCCAACCTCCCTGGCCCTAAACATCCTCTATGGCCATCATGCTACAAGCCCAAAGCCCTCCAGCTTCTCCTTCAACGGGGCTCCGACCACAAGAAGACACCAGGTGTTATGGAGCTGGCTGCTAGCTTGAAAAAGCTCGAATCCATCAAGATCCTCATGGAAGCTGGTGTGTCACCAAACGTGCGGAAAGATAATGTCTACACACCACTGTGCTCGGCCATTCGCGACAATAGCCCCGAAATCGTTACATACCTGCTCGACCACGGCGCAGACCCCAACTTTTGTGCGGCAGAATACCCGGCTTTCAAGTGCATCACTCATAAGCGCACACACTTTCTCCCACAATTGGTAGCAGCTGGTGCAGACCTACACAAGCCCAAGGGTATTATCGAGACTGCTGTCAAGTCCAACGACAAGGACGCCATAATCTACCTACTGGACCATGGGGTCAACCCTAATGACCGAACACCAGAGGGCTGTACAGCGCTCACAACCGCTATCCGGGAAGACCGGAGCGAGCTCGTCGACCTTTTGCTATCACGAGGCGCGGATCCCGCAATTCGAGGCGAGGACTGGCCCCTCTGCATGGCGGTCAAACGCCCCGAAATTCTCAAGAAACTTCTCGCCGCAACTCCAAACCCACGGGCCTTCCGCGGTGTCGTGGAAATGGCCGTCGTCGCCAACCAACTCGACAGCATCAAGTTCCTTTTGGAAGCCGGCGTGAGCGTCGAAGACAAGAACTGCGGCGTCTTCTCTCCCCTTACCACGGCCATCCGCGAGGAGCGCAAAGTCATTGTCCGCTACCTTCTCGACGTTGCCAATGCGGACCCCAACGCCCCAGGCGAGCACCTCCCGATTGTCAAAGCGCTCCGCCGCTACAGCGGCGACACGGAAATTATCCAAATGCTGCTAACACGCGGCGCCGATATCAACAAGATGCACCGTGGGTGGAACGCCATCCTCCAGGCGGTGGAAAACGGCGACGCCGAGATACTCAAGCTCCTGATTGAAATGGGCGGCCCCCCAGATCTCCAAGCCCTCGACGAGACCGGTCGGCCCGTCATCGACATTGTGACGGAGCGTGGCTGGGAAGAGGGCATTGGACTGCTATTCCCAAACACGGGGATGCGGGCCAAGCAGTAGGTAATTCCACCCCCGGCTGCTTTCGTATGTTCGGTGTAATAAGAGAGAGAGAGAGAGAGAGAGAGAGAGATGGTATCTGAATACTTGGCTAACCACCATTTGTTGCAGTAATAAGAGCTTTTCAATTACCGACTGGAAATGGATGAGTGCCGAGATTGAGAGAGAGTTGCAAAATCACCAATTTGATTATGACTATGACGAAGCAGACGATTGTAGTCAGGCTTCCAGCGTACTTTTACACGTGTGATTTTCACTTTCTCTCGGTGTCTCGGTGTCTCGGTGTTTCTCTCTCTCTCTCTCTCTCTATCTTGTTTTCCTTTTCAGTTGCTATCGATACCTGTCATATCTTTCTTTTGGGTCGAATCAACGATGAGCCCTGGGGAGGGTATTCATCACCACTTCTTCTCTCACATTTACGCATGGAGTTGGGACGCTTATACCACAGGCCCACTTTGGGTTACTAGCGAAATGGGGTTTTTTTATTTTTCCTTTGTTCAACTAATGTTTTATCTCTATTGTCACGAAATATCCCGAAAGATCTCCCGTTATACGCGTGTGTGTCTGTGTGTTTTTTTTCTGTCCCTTGTTAGAAAGTGAAATGAACTATTACAATCTTCCTCTTTCTTTTTTTGTTTCTCTCTCTCTCTCTCTCTCGGTTCTATTAAATATCGCAGATTAGCAAGGGAAAATCAAAACATACCCCACTCCAATCCAGTTATAATATCAAGATTCGGGCCAAGTCTTCTCCACTCACACACACATGTACGCATGTCGTATTACACAGATGCTCGTATCGCATACTATATCACACACATACACACAGACAACTGTCGTATTGCAATACACCGGTAACACACACACACACACACACACGCACGCAATCTCGTATCGCACAAGCCACCCACATCACATTTCCCACGGCAAGTGGGAACTAGTAGACAAGAAAAAAAAAGGGGAAACGAGACCCTGATTCTTAGCATGGTAAATTAATCTCCACCCCCCCCCTCTCTCTCTCTCTTTCCCCCTACACCTAGGTGTAATGATGTAGGTGTAGCGAACGCCCGGCTTTCCTCCAACCATCCGTGCACCGACAACGACGAAGGAGAAGAAGGTAAGGTAAGAGAAAAAAAAAGCAAAAGTCGCACAACGCTCCCCCCTCCAAGAAAAAAAAATAAGAAAAAAAAAATAAGAAAAAAGAGAGAGAGAGAGTCAAAGCGCCGATAAACCCTCGTTTCCCTGACTCTCCCCTTATCCTCTCTCTCTCTCTCCACACACACACGTACACACACACGTACACGCAGCACACACACACACCTCCTTAAGCTAAAACGGCACGCGCATCACACAAATTATCAAGTGTACCACCAACCACGGGGGTAGGTATCAAGGCCACCCACCGATCTCCACCGCCCGTCCGTTTCCCTTTTCTCTGGTAGCGGTCCGTGTGTGTGTGTGTGTGTGTGTCGGCTTAAAAATCCCCGCCTCTCAGCGTGCAGGAGGACAGCAGCCCGCTACGCCATTCTCGTACGAGAGAAGGAGTAGGGGGAGAGAGAGAGAGAGAGGGGCAAGCTGGTTGTAGTATGTACTTGTGTTTCGCAACCACAGCTTGTTTTTTTTTGCGCAATGTGCAGGCGTTGGTAGCAGGTAGGTAGGTAGGTAGGTAGGTCTGTAGGCTTTTAGCTCTCGCAGCCAACACACACACACACACACACACGAGACACACACACTTTACTTACAGCTCGCGACTCGTGCTTGCGAATCAAGGAATAAAGTCCTTGTCCGTCGGCGGGCGACAAAAGTATAGTAAGTAGTGGTAGTGCATGCAACAAGGACCCCCCCAGTCTGTGTTTCCCCCCCCCCATCCCCCCTTGACCCTTCTCGCTTAACACGCATTTCCCCATTCTCCCATTCTCCCATCCTTCTCTTCCCTTCTCTCTCTCTCTCTCTCTCTCCGCTGCGCTGTGCTGTCCTGCGCGTCAGACATACAGATAGACAGACCGACCCACCCACCCACCCACAGACAGGTTTACTGCACGTGAGACCCGAAGCGCGCTAGCAGGGCTGAAACTTTAAAATTTGCACGGGTTGCGCGCGTATGTGCATGGGGCGCACGAGAGCAAGGGTGGGAGAGAGAGAGAGAGAGAGAGGCGTTGCGTTAGGTTCGGGGGCGCGTCTCGCATGCGTTGCCCGGTACAGTCGTGGTGGATTGGATTGGATTGGAGTGAAATGCGGGGGAGGCGGAGCGGAGGCGGAGGCGGAGGCGGAGGGCGCACGCACGTGTGGCTATGTATGTGTTGGGTGTAGGTAGGATGTTTGTGCACACATCTACATGTGCGCTAAATCATCCATGCTGGCACTGATACTGGTATACCCGTACTGTCTGTCAGTCAGCATCAGCATCAGCATCAGCATCAGCATTAGCATTAGCATTAGCGGGGGATTGTAGCAGCTGGGCAAAAAGAGGGGGGGGAACCCCACACACACACACACACACACACACACACACACCTCACAGTTACCAAGTCGACGTTCACACCACTGATTCGCCAGACCCCAACCGACTTGGTCCCTTTTCTGCTATTATACCTAGTGGCCCTCGGGTAAACATAATAGTCGGGCATCTAGGTTTGTGAGATTGGCACATGTGTGTGTGTGTGTGTGTGTGCTATATCCAACGGTAACTTGGTACGTACTAGGACATTTAGCATTGCGATTAGCGAACGCGAGCAAGCTAAAAGAAGGGGGGGAGGGGATCATCTACGGACTAAAAAAAAAGAGGGTCTGTTGCGGGAGGATCTTCCACTTGGTATGTAATGATGATGATGTGAGTGTGCTGTGCGTATGCTGTGCTGCGTGCGGAGTGTGCTGAGTGTGTCGAGTCGAGCCGGGTTTTACCATGTTACATGTACTATGCTCGCTTCATTACCCCCCCTCCCCCGCGCCCTTTGCGTTAAGCAGCAGAAACTATAGGACATCCCGGGCTGGATTGAGACAATGGGGCTTTTTTTTTCTGTCTCTGCCTTGTTTTCTGTACGCAGGTAAGCCATGAAGCGGCTGGATCGCGCGGCCTAGGCCAAAGGGCCAAGTACGCCAACGACGCGTCCATGTATCTGCAGCACGCACACACACACACACACATGCATCGGGCGGTTCCGCTGACACCTGCAAGACGACATCTTGGATTGAGGTGGGGTTAGGTGCTGAAGAGACAAGGTTTCGGGCCGACAGAAAGGCGCGAGGACAGGAAAAGCCCCATGGGTTATAGAGGGCTCAAGCTATTATACTCCAGGCATGTCATGTTTCGGGGGGGGGGGGGCCAAGCAGTAAAACCGGCTGATCTGCAAGTCATGCAACAAAAGTTTTCCACGACTATGGATTCGTTACTAGGATATTGGATTCATTACTAGGATATACGCACATCGCGCTCCCCCCCATGTCCTACCAAGGTAGCATGAGCCCCAGATTCCCCCTTCTATCTAGACATGAATAGAACTATAAGAAAAGGAAAAAGAAGAAAAAGAAAGAAAGATGTGAAGAGGGTATTAACTAATTCTCATAGATCCGCGAAGCAACCGCGAAGCTGCTACAGGCCGTGACTGCGTAGACCAGGGGGCAAAAAAAAACACATTGCCGCGCCATGATCCCTGTCCAACGTATTTTTTTCGTGAGTGTAAGGAAAGAGGGCGTATTGTTGTTGTTGTTTTCTTTCTTTCTTTCTCTCGTAAATCAGGCCGTCACACATGGGAAATTCGTTAAGAAAAAAAATGCGCCAAATCGTCTCGATGCCAGACATGCAGAAAACGACATCTGACGCCAATGAAAAGCCGAGCCAAAGAGCTCTGGCAAAATCCAATCTTCGCAACAGTATTACACGCTGGGAAGCCAGAAGGAAAGCAAAAACTGTCCTACAAGACGCGACGTATACTTTGTCTGGTTTGCCGGTGAAATACTTACTGCCTGTCGTTGTTGCAAGAAGTCAACTGTTGCTGGTTAGCACACACGAGACATGACTTGATCAAAGACATGATAATCACTCACTGTTCTCCTTGACCAACTGCGCAGCCTGTCGCACAAAGTTCACGCTAGACGAATCGCCAAAGCCCACCTCCTTCTCCCAGTCGAGATCTGCATCGCGCATGGG